CCCATCCACGCATCATGAGGATAGTGATTCTTTCACGTTCCGACAAGTCGCCAGCCATTTTTAAAACGTTTAATTTTAATTAATCGTACGTTGTATTTGGACGATAACAATTAATTTCTGCTTGCTCAAAGCTGAAGTTAGAAGGTGCTCGTTCTTTGATAGCTTTATACATTCTTAGTTGAATTTTAAATGCGAGTTAGACTGCATGTAGTGCGTCACATAGCGGTAAATGAAGGAACTAACGAGACGTTTCATACATGTTTTATGGAGCAATTTTTTGGCAATTTGACTTCAGCGAAATATGAGGATATGTTGAGGAATCGATCTTGCCTTAGTTAGCTGGATCACACACACAACAGATGCAAATCCGAGCGAGTAACCTCCATGTAGTACACCTTGGATAATGTTAATACCGGCGCTACTCTATCATTCAACCCTCATAACTCGCAAAGTACTTAATAAAAATGAACATTATTATAGTGTTTTGGAAAGCTCTTGAATTAAGCTATAAGAATATGCAATCAAATGTAGGGGGTGTCATTTAAAAAAGTCAATGTGACCTTGACCTGACCTTGACGACGCCATCCAAGGTCAAACTGATAGAATCAGTATATAGATCTTCTTAAACCCTACAACTTTTGTTGGAAACACTTTTCTGTAAAACGTATATTTTCCGAGATATTTAGGGGTTTCCACACTTTTGGTAGACCCTGTATATATATGTATATATATATATATATATATATATATATATATATCTTATGATTTTTAAAAATATTTTTAATTTACAAAATTAAAGTTTTATTAATTAAACTATATATATAATATTAAAAATTATAATTGACTTAATAATTTATATATATTTATGTATAATTATTTTGAGAAGTTCAATTTTTATATATAAATTTACAATATATTGGTAGTTTTAATAATATTTAAAATAATAGTTTCGAATATTTCTATAATTATGTATTTAATTTGTAAAATAATAAATTGAAAATTATTTATAGTTTATTATTAAATTTTTATACTTTGTGAAAGGACTTTAGAGTTACCTATAATTTATTTTAATTTAATTTTATATCATGGTAATGAGTTGTATTATTTTTTTAATTTTAGAAAGTTTTAGATAGAACATATGTATGATAAAATTATTTTTTTTATGAATTTTATGATTTATAGTAAAAAAATTATATTTCATTACAATCTTTATTTTTTAATAAGATTGATCTTTTTTTTTAAATTTATATTTACGGATTTAATTTGAATTGGAGTAAGTTTTTTATGAAAATTTGATTTTTATTCAAAAAATAATTTTATCATGCATATGTTCTATTTAAAACTTTCTAAAATTAAAAAAATAATACAACTTATTACCATGATATCGAATTATATTAAAACTAATAAAGGTAACTCTAAAGTCCTTTCACAAACTATAAAAATTAAATAATAAACTATAAATACTTCTCAATTTATTATTCTATAAATTAAATATATAATAATAGAAATATTCAAAATTATTATTTCAAATATTATCAAAACTACAATATAAATTTATATATAAAAATTAAACTTATAAAAGTAATTATACATAAATATATATAAATTAGTAAGTCAATTATAATTTTTAATGTTATACAATTTAATTAATAAAACTTTAATTTTGTTAATTAAAAATAATAAAATATTTTTAAATTATAAATAATAAGATATTTTTAAAAATTATAAGATATATATTATATATATATATATATATATATATATATATTAATATATATATGCGAGTTTTGATATTTGATATATCGATACACAATATATGATTACTTATTTGTACCTAAATTTTATAATAGAAGTGCAACCATAACTATTCTGCCTACAAGCTTTTATAATTATGCAAAACATACCTTTTTGCCCATCCTTTTTTTCGAGAAAGTCGGAGGCGGGAAGGATATTTGTTTTTTAAATCTTCTTTCATTTCGTATTTATTGCTGTAAGAGAAAAAAGAGATAAAATTAATAATAAATTTAAAATAATAATTTTTTTGAAATACTGTGTGGGCGATTAAAATTAAACGCCCTGTACATAATTATAATATTTCGTAATATCACAAAAAAAATTAGCAATACTTACGAATAAAATTATACAATTACTGAATTGTCTAATTATACAATGTTGTTCGTTGGCTTCTTCGTCACACGACACATATATATGTTACACGTGACAACGTCGGATCGTGCACGTGATAAGCGAGTGTCCGAAACAAGTGCGAACGTGTCTGGAAGATAACCGCAGTGCGCAGTAATATTCCATCCGTCGCACGATGAATACACGTAAGTACACGCTCGTATAAACATTATATTGCTTTATTAGTAGTACTTTTATCAGTAGATACTTTTTATTAGTATAGAAATTTATTAGCTGTTATAATAGTATCATTAGAAACAGTATAAATAACCACGTAAATTGTAACAATATTTGTTGGTTAAGTACAGTAATAGTAATAAGACAGTAATTAAAGACTATTTTAGAAAATAATCTGTTTAATAGACACATATACGTAAATATTAATTAATGTATATTTGTTTCAGGAAGAAGTGAACCAATGGAGAGAGTTAAAAATGTTCTCTCTCCGATTGCGAAGTCTGAGATAAATCTCCGCAAATCCACTTATAAGACGGTGCCAAAAGCAACGGCGACGATGCAAAAGGTTACGCAAAAGTCAACGGAGTCAAAGACACCAGAGTCAACTAAATACGACGACAATACGACAATGCAAAGAGCTAATGTTTCAGAGTCGATGTTATCAGGGGCAACGACGTATGAAATAAAGGAAAATATACATACAAATATGAAAGTAAGTAACTGCATATTTAATTATTGCATATTTTTCCTTTTACTGCATGCAGATCATAAACAGATTAACATAGACTGCTCATAAGGTAGCGAAGAGTGTCCTTCTGAGAGAAAAAGATGATAGCATGAAGTTTATTTGTGTTTCTATCTTTTTCTGGTGTACGCGTGTTGCAATTTCAAGTTAAAAGTCAATAACTTGAAATTGCATCACGCATGTGTCAGAAAAAGACAGATACACAAATTAATTAATGCTATCCTTTTCTCTCAGGAGGATATTCTTCGCTACCTTATAAACAATCTATGTAAATATGTCTATGATGCAGGTATAAATAATACTTGGATTTTTAAAATTTGTGAGAAAAGAGAATATGATAGAGAGAATATTATATTAGAGATGTCCAAACTTTTATTAAAATATTGATAGGTATAGTCTCTCAGTTCTAAATATTTAAAAATATAATTAGAATATATTTATTATAATATTTATCTGTTATTATTTGTAATCTGAAAATCTATTGTAATTATAACATTTTTCATTTATTCTTGTAATTCATATTTATTTTTCATTACTAATTTGATATATGACGCTAAGACATTTTATGTTTTTAGACTATAAAAACGTATTTTCTTGTCTTATTCTTATCTTTCTATTGTCTTATTTTATATTTTATATTTCAGAGAATTAATCAAGTCGTGCGTCGGGAAGTCGCCAAGGAAAGGAAGAAATTAAAAAAAGAAGAATATCAAAGACGCAAAGCGCAATACAGGACACGTATTCCTGCACCACCTGTGTATGTGGCACCATCGCCAATACCATCGTTTTACGTACCGAGTTACGCACCATTGGCTTATGCAGCGCCGTTTATGTGCGCACCACCGCCTTTTGCTGCACTGGCTCACCCACAACCACCGCCTTACGGAGTACCGACTCATCCGCAACCACCGCCTTACGGAACGCCTTCGAACGTAATATTTTCTTCTTCTTACGCGCATATGTATAGACCTTTTTAAAATCGATTTTTGCGTTTAAATTTTATTACTAGAAAAAAATTTTAAATTTCATTTTATGGATTTTTTTTATGGATAAACTTTTATTGCTAACATATTTTGATAAAAAAATAATTATTTTTCAGTTGCATTTTCTTCTAAAATTTACAATTTTGGCTAGTCTTTTAACTTGAAATTGCATCTACAGATTAATCATTTTGACGAATATAAATATGATATAAATCACAATTTTCTTTCAAATAATTTTCTGTCTGACTTGCTGTTCTTTAAACACATATTTAAATTGCGCGATTGTTTCATCTATATGCACGACTTGATTAATTTTCTGAAATACAATAAGAACATACGTTTTTATAGTCTAAAAACATAAAATGTCTTAGCGTCATATATCAAATTAGTAATGAAAAATAAATATGAATTAAAAGAATAAATGAAAAATGTTATAATTACAATAGATTTTCAGATTACAAATAATAACAGATAAATATTATAGTAAATATATTCTAATTATATTTTTAAATATTTAGAACTGAGAGACTATACCTATCAATATTTTAATAAAAGTTTGGACATCTCTAATATAATATTCTCTCTATCATATTCTCTTTTCTCACAAATTTTAAAAATCCAAGTATTATTTATACCTGCATCATAGACATATTTACATAGATTGTTTATAAGGTAGCGAAGAATATCCTCCTGAGAGAAAAGGATAGCATTAATTAATTTGTGTATCTGTCTTTTTCTGACACACATGCGTGATGCAATTTCAAGTTATTGACTTTTAACTTGAAATTGCATCACGCGTACACCAGAAAAAGATAGAAATACAAATAAACTTCATGCTATCATCTTTTTCTCTCAGGAGGACACTCTTCGCTACCTTATGAGCAGTCTATGTTATGTCTATGATCTGCATGCAGTAAACAGAAAAGTATGCAATAATTAAATATGCAGTTACTTACTTTCATTTGTATGTACATTTTCTTTTATTTCATACATCGTTTTCTTTTATTTCATACGTCGCCCCTGATGACATCGACTCTGTAACACTAGCTCTTTGCAATCGCCGTCGTATTTAGTTGATGCTGTCTTAGCCTCTTATATGCATACATATGTAAATGTGTATATATGTATTGCTACACATATTTTAGTACTGCCATATGTTGGGTAGCAGAGTCCGCATCGGTGGAACTTTTAAAACTACGCCGGTGGGTGCTGGGACTGTCACTCTTGGGTGGCAGAGTCCGCATCGGTGGAACTTTTAAAACTACGCCGGTGGCAGTACTAAAATATGTGTAGCAATACATATATATTTACATTGTGCTGTATTATCACTAGTACATGTATAAAAAAAAACACAGCCTTTTTCTTATAATCATTAAATTAGCGATTAAATATTTCTATTGTTTTTAGATAAAAGTAAAACAAAATAGTTTGCCTGCATTGATCGCGTTCAACAGAGAAAATTGTTGTCATATTCTTTCGATGTTCGATGTTGATTGTTAGATTTGAAAGAAACCGATTACGTTGAATTGCTACTAAGCGATTTTTCTCTGCTGAATTCATTCATAATACAATACTATAAAATAGTGATCAAAAGAAAAAGAGAGACGCTAATTCATTTTATTTTAAATAGGAATTTTAAATAGGAACAAATAAAATTTACAAATCAACCTAATGCATTTATATGTATAATTCGAGTCAACTTATAATAAACTTATAATAAATATAGTAAAAGAGAATAAATGGTGACATAATGCAGGAAAAGTGCAACTGAAAGAAACATACATAAAACAAGATTATTCATAAAAAAAAGTCATTGATATTTAGATGATGATCTTTGGGATCATGATCTTAAGAATTAATAATAATATTAGTTTATAATTATATAACTAAACAGAATAAAAGATTTAGTACGAATATTAAATAAATGAAGCACTTCTTCCTTTTCTGTAAAAAAAAGAAGAAATGAAAAAGAAGAATTTCATGAAAAAATGAATGTTGAAAAAACTACAAAGTATTGTATGCGATATTATGTTTAGTTTCATTACCGTATAAATTTTTATTTTCGTTTCATTACTTTATTAAATTTTTATTTTGATATTTGTCATTTCTCCATTATCTGTATGATTTAAATATAATTTTTACTGTGCCATATATAAAATGTTTATTTTTTCATAATAAAGATTTAGATAAGTTATTATAAGTAATTATTACGTATAATATTTTGCAGTCCTTTTGTTTTCTTTAAAAATTCTAAATCTTTATTATGAAAAAATAAACATTTTATATATGGCTGGTATTTAATGTACGGTGCGTTATTCTGTACAAGTACAATAAAAATTATATTTAATTTTATAAGTAATTATAAGTTATATAAATAAGTAATTTTACGTTATTATAAGTAATTATATAATAATTACTTATAATAACTCACAATATAATACTTTGCAGTCTTTTTGTTTTCTTTAAAAATTCTAAATCTTCATTATGAAAAAATAAACATTTTATATATGGCTAGTGTTTAATGTACGATGCGTTATTTTGTACAAATACAGTAAAAATTATATTTAATTTTATAAATAATTATAAGTTATATAAATAAGTAATTGTAAGTTATTATAAGTAATTATATAATTACTTATAATAATGTATAATATTTTGCAGTCTTTTTGTTTTCTTTAAAAATTCTAAATCTTCATTATGAAAAAATAAACTTTTTATATATGGTTAGTGTTTAATGTAGAGTGTTATTCTGTACAAGTACAGTAAAAATTGTGTTTAATTTTATAAGTAATTATAAGTTATATAAATAAGTAGTTATAAGTTTTTATAAGTAATATAATAATTACTTATAAATAATAACTTATATACTGGTACTAATATACAATAACAACTTTGTATATATTGAAATATATGCATATATATAATATATGAATAAATATATTGTGTAAATAATTATAAAGATACACAAAGCATATTCTTTTCTCCTTATCCTTTGTCTCCATATCTCCTAAATATAAAAACACTCCTCAATATAGAAACACTAAATATTATTAATAATAATTAAAATATTTTGAAAAAAAATAAAAATAATATAATAATAATTATAATTATTCTTTCACGTTTATGTTAAATATTATTTATTAAAATTAATGCTTTTTCATTTTCAATTTCATCCTTATGTTATATATTATTTATTAAAATTAATGTTTTTTCATTTTCAAATTCAAGTTTATATTAAATATTATTATTTAAATTATTGTTTTTTCATTTTCAAATTTTTCTTTATGTTAAATATTATTTAAAATTAAAATATACTTATTCAAAATATTCTTATTATCAATTAAAATATACTTATTTTTCAAATGTAGAACTACGTTCAATTATATGTGCATACGTATATACAAGATCACAAGTGATGTATGTGATTTATGTCGATTGTTGTAAACAAATAATCTAGTTGTTTATTGTTCAATATAACTTATACAAATAGAGAGAAAGAGATGGAGATGGAGATGGAACATCTTCTATCGTAATATCCTGGAACTAATTTGTTGCTATTTTTTACTCCACTTTACCTACACTCACGCATACATACACACGAATCGTTCTACATACTATACTTTTATATTTAACTTCTAATTTCGATTTCAAAGGTTCAACAATGTTTTTTCGTATAATTCGATCCAAGCAAACTTGTTTTTACGTTCATACAAACTATATAGCTTTTATATGAAGTACATATTATGACGAGTTGACAGTTCGTCTACAATTCGAGACGCCATATTAGGATAAAATGGATAAGGAAAACTGTAATTTTATAATTATTTCTCGTTTTTCATATAAAATCGGAGTTTCCTAGGATTATTTATGTATGTATTGCAATCCTACATAAATATTTTCAATTCTGTCAAATTATTGACAAAAGACCAGAACTACGAAAATGGTAATTTTGTCGATAATACAGTCGAATACAGCATCCCCTTAAGACACTATATAAATGAGGACCAAACAGACTGGGACGAATGGATACCGTTCGCGATGTTCACATATAATACGACGCCGCACACCGCTACAGGATATACACCCTTTGAACTGGTGTACGGACATCAAGCCGAAATTCCGACAGCGTTAACAAAACCGCCTAAATCGACGTATAATTATGATGATTACGCGCAAGAGTTAAAAGAAAGATTACGAGCAACTAGTCAACTCGCAAAAGAACACATAAAAGAAGAAAAATTTAAAGCCAAGAAACAATACGACAAAAATACAAAAGATACACAATTTAAAGTAGGAGATAAAATGTTAGTATACGACGAAACACTACGACGCGGAAGATCGAAAAAGCTAGAGTCATTATGGACAGGACCATATACGATTTTAGAAAAGAACTCTGACGTAAATTATACAATAAAAAAGGGGAGGAAAACGCTACGCGTGCACACAAACAAATTAAAACTATTTATAGAATACTAAAAATAAATACACACTGATCTTATCATAAAGTGTAGAGTCACATTTAATAGAAAGATTTTCCATCATTTTTGTCAACTCTGAAGCGCTAAGATTTGACGAATTGGAATATACTCTTAAAAAGCTAAGATCTTCGTCATAGAATCAATTTTTAATTAAGTGAGTTCGACAACATCGATTGCCTGCTAGTATATAAAGTCTCATCTTAATAAAGGACTGCATACGAGCTTCTTCTGGACAGTGATATTTTTTGTAGCAGAACAAATACAGCAGTATTTGTGAGTCGAAACAGTTCGCTGAACTTCAATTCGTTCATCATTCGATTCGTTTACTTCAGATTTAAGTTGTATACTGACTGTCGGATCATTAGAAGATGATTGTTTGTTGCTTTCGTCTTCAATATTAAGCTTGTTTTTTTTAAACTGGAAAAACCGACATTTTCCACACAGAATAGCGCGAACAGTGATTGTTCGTCGAAGCAAGTAGGTATTGTGACGTGACGCTTTTGAGCTCCGTCACGGCGAGTCCGCCGAGGGGAAAAAGCGAGCGCGGGGTCGTCTCTCGCGCCTGAGAGGGAATTATAATTATCCATTTAGATCACTTTCAGCCTAGATTTGAGGTGCGTGCGTAGAGTGCGGCGGCCTGTACGAGCGTGCGATACCGCAATATGTCTACGAAAATCCCGTGAGATCCCGTATGTATACGAAGATCCCGTCAGTTACCGAGAAGAGATGAAGGATGAAAAAGGTTACCGCGAAACAGGTCAAGTATCGAGATCCCGCGCCGCCGCTAGCCATATATCGGAGTCATATTAATACCAGCACTTTTCAGAGCAATGACAGTCAACAACCCCAGGCTGCAGACTGGGAAGAAAGAAATTTCCAAAAACGGACAAGGATATGGCCTGGCCAGCCTGCCGAGTCCGAACGGAGGAATCGCTACCGTAGAGATATCGATCTTTGCTTTTGGGCCCCTGCGGAACAACTCTAGTTTTGAAGGGGGCGGAGAATCGACCCCCTTTTCGACGAAAATCAGCGAGATGTGCGGAAAATCGGCGCGGGACTCGAGGGCCTCGCGGACCCAGTCTACGACAGTTACTGTTCGGTGAGTCTTGAACCAGTGCAGACGACCTTACGAGCCCAGAGGAGACGACCCAACAGGGAAGCCGCCACCAGGAAATTGTAAGCCGCCGCACAGGTAGCCGATAGATTTTCTCCCGGGAACGGCTGGCGTCACAAAGGAATTCGGAATACCGTCGCCGGGCGACGGTCATCTCGTATCGTATTATCGTGGAAAGCCTGTGTGCTTCTCTCGCGTTAATTACCGGACGCCAGTCGACTCCGGGTGTCGCGGATTTGTCCCTCTCAGGGGGGTTTGTGCCGACAATCATACCATACCGTTTCGTACCGTATCGTTTTGTATTTTGTCCTACCGTACGTTCCGTGCCGGATTGCGAGTAGGGCGGGATTTGCGCGAGGACCTTCTTCGCGAGCACGAGTTACCGGGAATACAAAATCTGCTCTGCAAGAAAGGTAAAAGTCGCGAAATCGCCGTCTAAATCTCGGGCCGCTAACGTTCGTTTCGACCTATTATTCAAGAGTCGAGTTTGTTTACGCCAGGAGTGGAAAGTCGCGAAAGACCGTTAAATCGGGCGAACAATGGGAATCAGGTTGTCTCTCTATCACATTTTCCACCTCAACAGGATCCAATCATCATCATCATCCATATCTTCATTGCCGATGATTACATCTTCAGCCATTGCACTAGCGTAACACACAAGACTAACGAAACGCAAAGAACGAAAG